ATATTTATCGTGTAAATTTACTAAAAAAATTTAAAAATAAACAAAAATATACTCGATTTATAGTCGCATTTTTAAACAGATTTTTTAGAGTGTGTCAAGGGACCTGTCAACTTAGACTATCAGCACGTGTTCTTTTTCTTTTGCCTTTTTTATCTCACCAGCACATGTATCAACCTAAGAACTGTGTTTTAATATTGAAATACACATTGATTGAATTATAGCCAAAATTAAACGTTTAATTTGTGTGCAATCTTAACACAAAAAGTGGCGATCGTGACAGGACGATATCGACGATTATTCTACACATAATCACAACGAACAACGTACGAATATACACCATCTATTCGGAAACCCAGCCATTGAAGTCAATTTCAGCCGGTGATCAGCATACAGCAATCTCCGCAGCCTTGCCAATGCAGCTAAGTGTTTTCCTTAGGTTCCTATCCACTTCCTTATTGTAATCCCATCTATTTAAACAGTGACTCTACTTGCGCTTTAAAATCTTCTTATATATACATATTTTTTTTACATATTCACATGCCAAAATCAAATGAAAAAGCTAAATAAAATTGAACGTGAAGTGAAAGTAACAGGCATATCAGCACATTCTGGTTCACCTCGGCCCAGGTAAAGCCATATGAAGAGTGCGAACTAAGCAATATTAAACCTTTCGAATAAATTGCTAGCAGATTAACATCTAAAATGCCCTTAGATAAGGAATCTGGCAGCGAAACAAATCTAAAAGATGCGCAAGAGTTACAAGACTTAATCACTAAACGGAGTTCAGTAAAGGGACAAATTACAAAGTTCAAAAACTCACTTGCTTTGCTCCTGGCAAAGGACTCTTTAACGTCGGTCGAAGTAACAGAATTAACTCTTAGGCTTCGTAGATTTGAGTCGTTAACCAGCAGATTCGATGAATTGCAAAATCAGATAGAGGTACTGAATTCAAGCAATTTGCAAGGCGAAATTGATGAACGGGACTATTTTGAACAATCATTCATAAATAACATTGCTCTTGCTCAAAGATTAATTCAGAAATTTGTTTCAAGTAATCCTGATGCAAACGAGCACCCCGCTGCGAATGAGCCCTCGGCATTGCATTGTGAGCATCAGGGGGTTAATTTTAAACTACCTCAAATACAGATGTTGAAATTTGATGGAGCTCACTTCCGCTGGCTTGAGTTTCGAGACACTTTTGTATCGCTGATTCATAACAATAACCGCATAGCACCCATCCACAAATTTCATTACCTCCTTTCTTACCTAGCCGGCGATGCGTCTAACGTTGTTGCTAATTTGGAGGTCTCCGATGCCAATTATAGCGCCGCATGGAAGTTACTATGCGAACGTTATGACAATAAACGTCAGCTCATAACCCACCATTTAAATTCGTTACTAAATCTACAACAATTAACGCGAGAATCGGACAAATCCCTGCGATTCATGGTGGACCATATCACAAAAAACCTTCGCGCTTTATCAAGTTTGGGTCAGCCTACTGATCAGTGGGACGTGTTGGTCGTACATATTTTAAGTTTAAAGTTAGATGGCCGCACACACATTAAATGGGAGGAGTGGCGTGGCACATTAAGTGACATGCCCGATTTAAACAATTTCAAAGGTTTTTGCTCGATCGTGCTGACGTTTTAGAGTCATTAAATCGTACAACAAGTAATACAAACAAAAATGTCAAGCCATTTGGAACAGCAAACAAGATAGAATATCCAAAAACAAATTCGTTCGCTTGCATAAACCACAATGATGGTAAAGGTGATGAGTCATCCTATTCGTGTTCCTTTTGCCGAGGTGATCATCGAATTTATGATTGTGCAAACTTTAAAGCTCTGAGCGTGCAAGATCGAATAAGTACAGCAAATAAATTAAGATTGTGTCTCAATTGTTTACGGTATGGTCATAAGGTGCACAGTTGTCGACTAGGTCCCTGCCGCGATTGTAAAAAAAGACATAATACGCTTTTACATATACCCGTTCACAATACGTCTAATTCAAACAAAGGTTCCAAGGAAATTGCTGCGTTTAAACCGTAGCAAGCTTGTCTAATCAAGATTATTCGCAAGTTTTGCTATCCACCGCTTTAATTAATATATCAAATCCCCTCACAAGTCAATCATTAGAGATTGTTCCCGTATTATATGTAACCAAAATATTCTTAGATTAAATATACTTAAATTTATATGAATGAAATATTTAAAAGTTTTAAGTTTAACATTTTATTGCACATGCAAACTATGTATTATCATTATATTGACAAGCATATCAAGCAGCAAAACATCGCAAAGAGCGAACTAATATTGGCTGCATTTCTTTATTCATTCTGAACGTTTGGAATAAACTTTTTTGTTTACTTATTCTTTAGAACGTTCCTGATGATATGTCAACGTATATTTCAAACGCATTCTGTTTATTCCGGCTGTGAAATGGGATTATCCGGAATGTATAAAGAAACGCAGCCATTAATGTTCTCATCAGCTCCTTATTACGCCGTCCTTCTTAGCGGCCCTTTATGTATTTGCTATATCGCTTAAGTTTGACTCTTTCACTTGGATTACGACGGCGAGCAAATAAACACGTTTTACTCTATCTAGAGTAATTTTT